CTTTTCTAAGTTTGCTATGGATATGGTCCCTTTTCTATGAGCTGCAAATGTCCAGTTACACAAAAAGAATAAAAATGAACAGGGGAAGTGAGTTGTGGTCACAGATGCCCACATTACCACCTTTTTGTTGGTGTTGCTACAGCGGAAATATCTGTAAATACTAGATATGAAACTCACTCTTAGACTTGAAACATTGGAGCTTATCTTTGTTGCTTTCAGAGTAACTCTAAACAAGTGACATGCCAATTTTCTTACCTGTCAAAGACATTAATAAAAGATGCAAGTATGTGATAATGGGTCCTCTATTTCCCCTGCTGTAGGTCAGTGCAGCTCAATGGACAGCCCTTAGTGATGGTGGACGACGGGACCCTTCCAGAACTGAAGCCCCGCCCCCTACGAGCTGGCCGGACACTGGTCATCCCTCCAGTCACCATGGGCTTTTATGTGGTCAAGAATGTCAATGCTTTGGCCTGCCGCTATCGGTAAACCACCCTCTGCTTTAGAGCTGCTGGTGGGCCTGCTGGACTGCTTTTCTGCTCTCCCCCCTGTAGCGCCCTTAGTCCTCAGCTTCCCTCCCATTTTGCTGGAGTCAACATAGACTTTCTAAAGAGACTAAACGTCATAGTGTGAGCTTAGCCTAGGTAGGTGGCATCCATCCCTAAGGAAAATGTAGACACCCTCTGTTCCTGTGCAAAGAGAACGGTGTGTGTCTGTTGACACACACCTCACAGGCTGGCAGTATCTTCCAGAGCAGTGTTTCCAAACAGCTCTGCCTGTAGTCCTGATCCCACAGCAATGCAACTGCAAACCCCAAGCTCTAGCCTACGCTGCTGCTGCCCTCAGCAAAGGACGATGAAGGAAAAAGCAAGGGGGAGCTGCAAATCCAATCCTCCCCTAACTCCTCCTATGTTTCCTGCTGCTGCCTTGGGTTTCCTGACACCTCTCTTCCCATGGGGAAGCAAATGGGTGAGTCAGCTCTGGCCTGCTGGGTGAGCTGTTTATATAATTTCCTGGCTGATGTATGAGTGTGTGCATCTGGGTTTCTGACAATGGCATCCATCACTGGCTATTCCTCTGGGAAGCGGGTGCTTCACAAGTAGAATTACAGTCAGACTCCGAAGTCTGTAAGGTTCTATTCCTCTGTGAATCTAGGTTCCCTCAGGCTTGGAATGGGAGTCAGGTAACAATATTCATTGAGTGGAGAGCAATGTATTAGGCTCCACCAAAAGAAATCATCATTCTTCATGTTGCCAGGAGGGAGAGAATTGTAGTACAAAGAAAAAGCACATGGCAACATCAAGTGCATACACATGTGCTCACAAGCATGCGCATGCGTGCACACACAAACATACCAATTTACACCTTGCCCTCAAACTGAAAGGATTTCAAAGACTCAAGACAGTAAGTCTTTAGTTGTTAGATTGACCCAGACCATGTAGAAGAAGGAGGCGTGAATCAAAGTCATTGTAAGCATAGCTGAACCTTTATGCCTCCTCCCACATAGCTGAGTCTCAGTGGCATTTACTAGGGAGGAAAACCCCTCTGGTCCTCAAAGATGATCAGATCCATCGTACCCCAGGTGCATGCACCTAAGCATGGTACAAAGTTTTCAGGTAACTCCACTGAAGGACGGGGAATTGATCTGAGAGCAGAGCTGGCAATGATAGGCCTTCCGAGTGGGGCAGGCAAAGGACCGACTTACGGCCTGTGACTGACTTTTATTTGGCTACAGGAAATGGGATCTTTGGAAACAAGCTGCAGTGCAGTGATTTCTGCAGACAGGACTGACCTCAGGACAGATGACAAGAATGGTGCTGCTTTTAAGGAGGAAGGGGATCCTTGACACTCTCCTGGGTGTCAGAAAAGTCAGTGGCACCATTTTGATGTGAACAGACAGGCCTGGGGAAGAAGTTGAGGCCCGTCACTGTGGGAAGCAGTGAGGGCATTCCTGAGGTGCCTGAAGAATAAGGATTTGGTTCAGTTTGCAAAGTGAGAGACAAGAGGAAAGTTAGACTAACAAGGTGCCCAACGCTTTTCAGCTTGGAGAGCGGGAAGCCGCCTATCTTAGTCTGCCTATAAGGGAGACAGTGGCACCAGATTTTGATGTGCTTACTTTCAGTACAGGAGGAGCATCACACGGCAGGTACATTAGGGCAAGAAGACTGAGGACAGGCTGGACCCGTCAGTGGTCAGCTGGGAAGCATCTGGAGATGGTGGCCCATGAGTCTTCTCACCCAGCAAGGCTCCCAAGGAGCTTCCCTTCCCAGGCACCTTCCCTGGAAACTGCAGAACAGAGAGGTGTGCTGACGCTGACGGTAGAGAGGAAGGAAAAGAAGAGAGACACGTGTGGGCTAAAGTCAGGGAGTGTGGGAAAGGAAAGGAGACAGACAGATGGGTTTTCCTTGAACACGTATCAAAATCTCTTCTAAGTACCTGTCTGAGGGCAACCGCATGGACCCTGATAACAGCAAGGTAACCAGAGGCCCCCGAGTGCCAGGCCCTGGGCTAGTTTGCTTTCATACATAGAAGCCCCACGCTAAAGTCACGCCTGCCATCCCCATGCACCTGGGAGGCATGGGAAGGGTCCTTACACCGCCCAGCATCACCCAGTGGAATGCGTGTGTTTGAAGAATAATCCAGAATCTGCCTACTTAGTCACCAAGCTCAGTGGCCTTTCATGTCACAGACTCGGCCCTCATCTGGTAGACTCTGCTTGCCCAGGATAGCCAAGACTTCCAGAGCCCGGAGCAAACCCATTCTCTGTAAATAGGTACTGATTCTTCACCAAGCTTTGCAGAATGTAGGTTGTCTTGCTGCTTTTGTCTTTCTCTGTGAATTAAATGCTGCACCCAAGAGGTTGAAGTTTTGTTTGTTTTTGAGCTAATGAAGGGGGAAGAGGGAAGCGCGGGAGTTTGTCCCTAGAGCCTTGCAGTTCTAACTGTCTCATGGAAGGAGGATTTGCATTACTCACAGGCCACCAAGACACTCACTAGAACATCACACTCCATGGCAGTTCTGCTTCTGGGCATCTGTCTTGGTGCCCTGGGGACGGGTGGGAGGAACAGTCATTTAAACCAGTGATGTTGCTCTTGGCTCTTTGCTCTGCTCTTCCTAGGGACTCTGCCTTTGCATTCACCCCCCAGAGACAATCTCTGGTAAACACAGCTTCAAGTCCCACAGCAGGAGTGTAGGTGAGGTGGGCAGCTGGAAAAGGAGTAAAGCAATCCTCCGCCAGCTTCTCTGGGTCAGTTTTCCTTCCTCAAGCAAGATATGGCAGATCATGAAAGACTTAAGAGCCCTTCTTTTTAAACCAAAGAATGGGCTTGTGGAAATGCGTATTGAAAGAGTAATCACGCATAATGAGAAGTCTGTGCTTCTCATCTTTTGTTGAGATGGTTTTCTGCTCCTCTTGCCTCTAGGAATGATTTTCTTTCTCATTTCTTATCACAAAGCCTCAGAATAAATTCTCATTGTTATTGAGAGAGAAAGTCCCCATTTTTCTAATGCCCTGCAGAAAGCTGCCACTGTGGGATATTAGTATTATCTCTAGCTAGAGAAAGGCTTGAAATATCAGACTCAAGCGGCTGTGAGACTAAAAACCGGGGGCTCCCAAACCAGGATTCCTTCTGCAGTCTTCCCCTTCCTGCACACTTAGGGTGGACTCAAACCCCGTACTCTCGTGCAGGACAAGGGTAGCTGATAGGTTCGGCCTGAAGACTCTCCACCCCCTTCCAGCATCGGGGGTGAGCACTGGGGTACCAGGGCTGTTAACCACTGGACCACAGCCGGCAGATTCTGGGTCAGACCAGCATCCTCATCGAGTGTGCTGTAAGCACAGAGACTCGGCTACAGGCTGTGCCTTGCAAGCCATGGAGAATGGCTTCCTTTCTGAAAACAGAAGGTCAGTGCTCGACCTCTGGAAAAGTAAGGACAAGCCAGGCAGATCCCTGTGATGGTCAGAACACCGGAACATGGGAGGGCTTCAGTGTTCTGCGGTACAAACAAAGCAACCCAAAGTGATAGTGATTTGTCTCGAGAAGGCGAGGAGGAAGAGCTTCCTCCCAGTCAGCCCTACTGGCCCAGTGTGCTCCCCGCTGGTTGTTTCTTCCCACTAGCCTGCTTTCTAGTTCCACATTCTCCCTTTGGCCAGCCACTCTGTCCCCAAGAGGGATCCCACTTAAGGAAATCTGCTGTTCCAAGACAGAGTGAAAAGTTCAATTTTAGGATTGTGTCCTTTTCATAGGCTCTGTCCATTGGAAAGATAGAAGTATTCCAAATAGAAGCAACGCTAAGGTGAGCTATCCTAGTGTAAGGCCCAAACAACCAGAACACTCAGAGTGAAGGAACTGCCCTTCCTTTTGGGATGCCTTCTTCTCAGCACTATTTAGACTCTCTTGTCACCAGGAGGGTTAGAGAAGGAGCCAACACACCCATCCAGATAAACAGGACAGAACAGACTTAGAACAAGTTCTGCTGAATGTCCAAAGCTGCTCAGATGACACTCTTCCACTAACATGGCAGCAGCCACCCTTTCCTCAACTCCCTGTTGCCCCCAGCTAGCTTTCATAACTCCCTGTACACCTCCCTCAGAGAACTCACTCGCCTGCCTGGACAGCAGCTGACCTCAGGTTTGAAGGAGTCCAGGAGCAGCTTCGTTGTAAGGAGGGCCATGACTAACCTCTGCATCCAGGCTCACCATGGCCTGTAGTGGCCTCCCCACTCAGCTTCTCTGGGTTTCCCTGTAGAGCAATCTAAGGACCATTCCCACCACAGTGAGCCAGCCAGTGAGTGTGATGATGTTGGGTATTTCTGCGTCCTGGGAGGTCGGTGGCAGAACCAACCAACACTTCCACAGCCCTGTCTCCCCCTCTCCATCACTCGGGTTTGGAAGTCTGCATCTGCCCACACTGAACAGTAAACGGTAAAGCAACAGCCTAGGGGGAGAGTACATGCAAACACTTGCAAATTCCACTCGGAAACATCAGAATAAACCAAGCACGTCATCACCACTCTCTTCTAAACCAGAGAAGCCCCTGTGAGAGCTGGGAGCATTGGGGAGGAGCCTAGCAGTCTCCATTTGACTGGTTCATGAATTCTTCCCACGATTCTGTGAGCCAGCAGTGGAAAGGGTACCCTCTGACAGCCCACAGCAGGAACGTTATTCTTCTAATTATTATTCAGGAAAACATCCGCGGGTTCTTGTTCAAGTTGTGTTATGTAATAAATTATACTGTGGGAAGAACAGAAAGAAAGCTTAATTTTACTCATCTGGAAGCTACCGAAACGAGCGCAGGAGCAGCTCCGGGCGAAGGCTGTGTCTGCAGAGATTTTAACAGCTGTTAATTTTCCCACCCGGAACACACATTAGAGTGTGCTTTATGCAAACCTGGTGGTTGCGGGGAGTTTGAGTCCATAAGGTCGTTTTTATTTTTAGGTAATATTTTGTGAGAAATAAAACATGGCTACTTTAACTTTCTGTTGTCAGGGTGTTTTGTCCGGGAGAGGGAGGCAGCAGTTTTCCACACCCGGACCCTAAGTCTGACTGCCTGAACACTAACACACCCTGAGGCCTTGGATTTCACGGTATTGTCCTCCTGCTCCCTCCCAACAAGCTTTGCCTCAGCCATAAGAAGTAGAAATTATATTTCATAATTCAAGTTAGATGTCATTGATGTATTGGTTAAGGAAGATGGGATTATAATAATACGTAAATTTCATAATCTTGGTGGCTGTCGTGACCAAGGCTTAGCTCCTGTTCATAACTCACCTGCAGTTGAGCTGGTGGTGATGCGAGGGGCAGTGGCTGTGCTCCATAGTCACTCACATCCAGACCGACGTGGACCACTGCCATCCTTCCCTCAAGGCTCCTATGGGTACCAATGAGTCGCTAACAAACAAGGAGAGAAAGAATGTAGACTCAAGTGAGAATAGTTGGTTAGGAGACTGACCTGGCACTAGCAGTAACACCCCTTCTGCTCAGGTCCACTGGCCCAACTAGGAATAGGATGTAGAAAATAAAGTCCTTCATGTTAGCCATGATGAAATGGTGGGGTTTGGGGAGAACTTAACATTACATAAATTAGTATTTGCTGCTTAAATAAAAAATTAAATAAAAAGAAAAAGAAAGTAAGTCCTTGCCTAGAAAGCCACTTTCCTACCTCTGCTTGGCGGAAACGAAACACAAAACGCTGAAGAGGGCTGGGAGACGGGGAATGCATCAACAGCACAGCTTCCACAGCTGGCTGACCATCGAGTGACTCTCACTGCTTGTGTGGTGACCTCGAAATCTACAGGACCTGTTACACAGTCACAGTGATTTACATGAGCTTTCTTCTCCTCCCGCCCCACTCCTCGAGTTGTGACAGTCCTGGTTCATAGCTCATTTTATCAGAAAAATCTGCATTGTTCCACTGGTGAACGCTGGTACTGGATGCTGTGCTCTCTACTGGACATATCTAAAACATAATTTAAAAACCTAAGTAATGTGTGATGTTTTCTGGAAAGATGTAATAAGGTCAGTTCAACCAAGACAAGGCATCAACAACAGATTGAAGAAATTATTCCCTCAAAGTCTAGCTTCATGTGCCAGCAAATTGTCCGGAGTGACATCCAGAGCATGGGCTACTCACGGGCAAGGGCATCACAGAAAACACAACCCAGCCAGAGAGCAAGCCCTGAAGGCAGCCTCCCTAGGAGGCAGTGACACCTAAGTCTCCTCACCCCAGCTTTTATAACCTTGGGGAGGAACTGTGGGGATCCTATAGTCTACTGAGCTTCCTAAGGCTTTTAAGTTTTGTGAACTTGAGCCTCACAAACCCCTCCTCCCACCAAAAAAGAACATTTCAATTGAGAAGACAGAGCTCCCCAACAAGCCACAAAGTGGGCAAGTGGGGCACTGGAGACCCAAAAGCCAGGTCCACATCCAGAGACCATGGCAGCTCTGATTGACTTACTGTTGAGACTCTCTGGCCCTCAGAGTCCTCGGCTATAAAAGGATGACTTTGAGTTAGGTGTTCATGGAAGCATAAGGATCAGAGTGTGACTCTCCAGCCAGTAGCGCTCACATGCCTGTAAGCCCAACTCTGGGGGACAGGGCAGAAGCAGGGGGTGCTCTGGAGTTTGCTGGCAGCCAGTCTGACCAAAAAGTGGCAAATTCCATGTTCAGGGAGAGACCTTATCCCAGGAAAATAAGGGCAAAGGACAGGGCAGGACAAACAGCATCATCTTCTGGCCTCTGTACGTGCACTCATGGGCAACCCCTACACACACACACACACACACACACACACACACACACACACACACACCACATCTACCACACATACATACACAGAGAGAGAGAGAGAGAGAGAGACATCTACCACACACCACATCTACCATACATCCATACACACAGAGAGAGACACACACATCTACCACACACACACAGAGAGAGAGAGAGAGAAAGAGAGAGAGAGAGGGGGGGGGGGGCAAATTGGAGTGTGTAATGATCAAATGCTCTCCTGGTCCATAAAAATAGATTAGACTGAATTACATCAAAACTGAAAACCCTGACACTTCAAATGACAGCATTAAGAAAGAGATAGGGCCAGGGGATGTCATCACTGGTGAAATCCTTGCCTTGCAAGTGCAGGAACCTGAGTTCAATCCCCAAAACCCGCATTAAAATCCAGATGAGGTGACCTGTGTTTGTAATCCCAGTGCTAGATCCTGGAGAATGGGTTCCTGGAGCTTGCTAGCCAGCCAGTCTGGCCTAATTGGTAAGCTCTGCACAGTGAGAGTCCGTGCCTCAAAGGGCATTGAGCAGGCACATGCACACACATACACACATGCACACAAACACATGCACACGCACACACATAAATAAAGTAAAAAGACAGACCACATATGGGAATTAAATATAGATATGTATGCATAATCTAAAACATAAAGAATTCCTACAAACCAATAATAAAGACAATTTAAGTGGATAAAAATAGATATCAATAAAAGCAAAAACTTCAAAAGGATACACAAATGAAGAGAAACACATTAAGAGAGGATCAGCACCATTCACTAGTCTTTGGTGAAACGCAAGCCACTATCACCAGGTAACATCTACTAGTATGGTTATAAATTTTTAATAGGTAACAGTTATTCAAGTTTACAAACTGAGACAAGAGGAAAACATGTCAACAAACACAGCATTGGCAGACAGCAGGCCTCTGGGAGGGGGTGCCTGCGATGTGACTGCGCTGTGTGGTGGAGTTGGGCTGGGCAGAGTGGGTGGTGAGGGGGCAGGAGCAATGCTCTGTTGGACTGAACCATGCATAGCTGGAGGGGCAGAGGCACTCATTCTTGGCTTCTGTGCTTCAGGGTGGGGGTGTTAATGCTCCCTCTGTGGATGGCATCTGCTCCCCTGCTGGGCTGTATGCAAAGTCTCTCAGCTGCACCAAGGTACCCAATAAGGACTTGAATAGGCATCCAGCCCTTTCACGCCAAATACACACAAAATCTAAATAGGTTGCAATCACAAGTTCAAGACAAAAAACACTCCACCACACAGTACAATCACATCATAGGCACCCCCTCCCAGAGGCCTGCTGTCTGCGAACGCTATCCTGCTGAGTTCGGTGATGTGTTTTCCTCTCGTTTCACGCACAGCTTGTAAACTTGAATAACTGTTATCCATAAAAAATTTATAACCATTCTAGTAGATGTTACCTGGCAATAGTGACTTGCATTTCATCACAAACAAACAAACAAAAATGTGTATGCAACCCTCAGTCGGATTGGGAACCCCTGTAAATCAAGGAACTACAGCACGCGCGAGGCAGTTGGGCTCTCCTGCTCAGGTAAGTAGGAAATAGCACCCACAAAAGGGCAGCTTTCACACACAACCAGGTTCAGCAAGAAAACTAGAGACTGGGAAGGGCCCGGCCGAAGTGCAAGAACACCTAGGCTCTGTACCCTCTTCAGCAAGTTGGTTCTCCATGGGGCCTCAGTTTCCCCTTCTGTAAATCTAAGAGGAATGCCTTTAGTTACGTCAAGCAGAAAGGCCTCTGAAAGCAGTGTCACTGGCACGCAGCAGGTGCCTCTATTGGCTTTCCTGATGCCAGGGAGAATGTGGCACCGCAACCCAGCACCCGCAGCTCGCCAGGACGGTGACCAGCAAGAGCAGCGGCCTCCGGGGCAAGGGCAATGCCAAGCAAGAGCAACGCCATACCGGGGCGGGGCTCGAACCTACACAACACGCCCCGTCATGTGGCTGGGTCACGTGGTTCCACCCGGAAGCGCGCCGCGGGCTGGCTACATGCTGGATGCTGAGAGCGGCTGATCTGGTATGTGGACATCGCGGGTGTCCGAGAGCCTCCCTGGGTCGCCCCTCGGTGGGCACCTCCGCCGCTCAGGCCTCCCAGCCCGGAGAGGCACGGGGGTCCCTGGGAACGGCATCAGTCTCACGCTCTTTCGGAGCGGGCGCCGCAAGCCAGGCCTTAGTCCTCTGGTCACCGTGAAATTCGGGGATCCGGGGAGGGGGCGTGAGGATTTGAGGGTGACATTGTTGAAGTGCTAAGTAAGCAGCTCCTGGGCGGAGCCTCGCCGTGACGCGGTGCCACCCTAGGCTAGCTGTTCCTGTCTGAGCATCACGGGCCCTAGTCCCCACCCCTCGCCCCCACCCCTCACTGGACTGTGGTAGACCGGACAGGGGCCACAGGGGCAATTTGCTGTGGTCCGGGTGGTAAAGCGGATGCAGGAGAGTTTCTCAGGTTGGCCCTTCTCCAAGTTCCCTCTTTTTAGAGCAAGATATAAGGAGAACAAAAGTTAGAAAGTGAGGTTTGCAACCTTTGAAGATAATTACTGTAGCAGTAAAACCTGATGCCCACCAAGAAGCATACCCGTGTTTCCAGGAAGTTGTTATCGAGGCCAAGTCTGAGGGTGGTGCAGTCAGGCTCAGAGTTTCTTTGCAGAAGATGCTGAACTCCCAGGAGCAAACCTTCCTCTTTGGCTTCAGATTCTTCTTGCCTTTTATCAAAACAGGGAGGATTCTGGAGTGAATTTGTTTCTCCTGCCATTTGAAGCTGGGAAATAAGAATGACACCCAAACACCATTCCTATCCCTAAGCAGCCTACTGCCCTGAGGTTGATCTGGCTGGGTCCGGGTGACTCTCCCTGTAACCGTAGGAAGGCCCGGGAGGAAGGTGCAAGCGAGGATCTGTTCCTTGGTCTCCCAGTGGGAGTTTGAAGCTCAGAGTTGAATGTGACATAGGAAAGCCCAAACCGGAACCAAACCCTGATGCTTTTTTGTTAGTCTATGGCACCTTCCCATCCCTGCTCATTTTGCTCGCTCTCAGCAAGCTCCCTGGGGCTGCTCAGTGACACTGAGTGTTTGAGTGACACCGAGTATATAGAACAAGACCTCTCCTGCAGCAGAGGAAGTAGGAAGTAGGAAGGATGTCATTGACACTTGCTCCACATAAAGGGCTCTCCAAGCTCATGGTTCCCACAATGGGGAAACCTGTGACTTTTCAGCCCTTCAAGGAGCTTGTCCACCTCAGGAACAGGCAGCGGTGGGGAACAGGCAGCCGTGGGGAACAGCGTCTCTGCACACTTTCACACCCTCTCTGCCTTAAGCATTTGCAGCACCAAGGATGCTCTGCTGTACCCTGAACTGGCCTGAATCTAGCTCCTTGGAAACTCTGCAGTATTCCTCGCCAAGGTAAATGGTCTTCCTCTCCTGGGGTCGGCGTGGGGGGATGGAAAGGTGGGCAGCACCCACTTTGGGGCCGTGGAAAGCAGGATGAGGGTAGTGGATTGAACCACTGTGGGCTTTGTCTGGCTTCTCTTACCCACCTACCTTCCCTGGACCCAATCCTGATGTCACTACTTCATTAGGGTGTAACGAAACCCCAGAATGGCTCTCGCGGCGGTGGCTGGCATGCAGCAGAGGGCTCCGTGAATGTCCCACGGGCTTCGGCTCCTACTCAGGCTGAATTCAGCATCTGTGACCTTCGCTCTTGCTTCTCCCTGGAAGATGAAGTGCGTGTTGGTGGCCACCGAGGGCGCAGAGGTGCTCTTCCACTGGACAGATGAGGAGTTTGAGGAGAGCCTCAGGTTGAAGTTCAGGCAGTCAGAGAATGAGGAGGAGGAGGAGGTAAGTGTAGGATGGGCTGTCTCAGGAGGGAGTGGGAGAGGAGCCTTGCAAAACCACCTGAGGCAAGGAGCCAACAGAGCCTCCTCCTGACCCACAGGAGGGCTTGGCAGGGCCTCTGCCCGGCTATCAGGAGGGCTGAGTCGCCTGCACAGCAGAGGCAACCATTTGGTGGTCTCAGTACTGTGATTTCATACCTCACCAAAGGTCTAGGCCAGTGACGGGAAAGGAGGCCAATTTTAGCCACACATCAGGGAAACCTGATAGCAGGTTCTCTACCCCAAAAGCTTGGCATCCACATAAGGCATGCATTCGTAACAGCTCTAATAAGATATACTAGACTTAGAGCTTACGATTTAATGCGTCTATATCTGTGATTCAGTCACAAATACTGAACTGCCTGCCATGCCAAAAGTTGTAAGCTCTTTTTGAATGTTGTAACTCCTTAAGAACCAGTAAGCACCTTGCTGTCCTGATGAGTATGTTTTGTAGACTTATCTAGAAGATTCACACACCGTGTGTGTGGGTTTTGTTTTGTGCTGTGTTTGGTTTGGGCTGGCTCTTTTCACTCAGCATGATTCTTTGTTGTGTCTTCATCCATCTTAGCACTCGCAGTCACTTAGTTCTCTCCTTTCTGTGCAGCATCCCATCCTATCCATGGGCCACAATTCACTTCTTCCTTCCCCTCTTGGTGGACATTTAGCTAGTTTCCAGCTTTTGATTACATAAACACATTGACTGTGAACATACATCTTTACGTGGGTTGGGACTCAGTGAGTGTTTTTTGGTTTTACGTGCCTGGGTGTTTTGCCTGCATGTGTATGCGCCTTGTGCATGCGTTGCCCACTGAGGCCAGAAGAGAGGAGCCGATCCCCTAGAACTGGAGTTACAGATGATTCTGAACTGTCATGTGGGTGCTAGGACTAGAAATCAAATCCTCTGCTAAAACAGCAAATGCTCTCAACAGCTGAGCCATCTCTCCATGTAGGCGGCGACTGCTCGTTCATTTCCCAGCCGCCCAGACCCAGACCCAAATAATCATGCAGAAGCTATATTAATTACAATTGTTTGGCCAATAGCTTATGCATATTTCTAGCTAACTCTTACATCTTAAATTAGCCCATTTCTATTAATCTGTGAATCACCACGAGACTGTGGCCTGCCAGTAAGGTTCTGACTGGTGGGTGGCGGCTTTCTCCTTCAGCAGCTACATGGCGTACCTTTGACTCTGCTTATTTTCTCTCTATACCTCTGTTTGGATTTCCTGCCTGCCTTTACTCTACTAAGCCACTGGCTGAAACAGCTTCTTTAATAACTAATAGTAGCAAAACATATTCATAGCATATTCCAGGCCCTGTACTCCTTAAGAAACCTCCTAGTTCTGGGGCTGGAGAGATGGCCCAGCAGTTAAGAGCACTGGCTGCTCTTTCAGAGGATTTGTGTTCAATTCCTAGCACCACCCACATGGCAGTTCACAACTGTCTGTAACTCCAAGATCTGACACCCTCACACAGACATTCACCCTCACACAGATTCAGGTAAAACACAAAACACATAAAAGGAAAAAGAAAAACACCCAGCTCTCCACAGAAGAGGTATTTTATATCCCACCAGCCACTGCCCAGGGCCTGGATGCTACTTGCTGTTTATTCTTTTTAATTTTAGCCAGTTTAATAGGTGTTGGCTAGAATCCCATATGTTATTTTTCATCCTCTGGGAGGCTTTTCATGTGCTACTTTGCCATATTGTTCCCCATATTTGATCTTTGTAATCAAACTTTCCTTTGGGCTGCCAGCCAGTTCCCAAATAATGACACGAAGACATTATTTAATTATGAAATCTTAACCTTAGTTTAGGCTTGTCTTTTTTGTTTGTTTGATTGGTTTTTGGGGTTGTTTGTTTGTTTGGTTGGTTGGTTTGGTTTGGGTTTGGGTTTTTCGAAACAGGGCTTGGCTATCCTAGAACTCACTCTGTAGACCAGGCTAGCCTCAAACTCAGAGATCAGCCTGCCTCTGCCTCCTGAGTGCTGGGATTAAAGGTGTGAGCCACCACCACTCAGTGCTCAGGCTTGTTTCTAACTAGCTCTTATAACTTAATCTATTTCTATTCATTTATATCCTGTCATGTACTGCTTCTTCTGTCCATCCTGCTTCTTCTGTATCTCCTGGAGCCTTCCCTGCACTTGGATTATCTCCTCCCTTCTTTCTCTTCCCAGAAGTCCCACCTATATCTCCTGCCTGGCTATTGGCCATTCAGCTCTTTAGTAAACAAATCACAGCAATACACGTTCACACAGCGTACAAATATCCCACAGCAGATCAGTTTTCTCAAGTTGTTCTTATTGAGATTTTAGAATTTCTTACATAGTTTGAGCATGTCTTTAATTAGATCTCTTTTGCAAACATTTCCTCTCATGCTCTTAAGAGGCCTTCAAAGAGGGCTGTCTTCTGGGGGTGGCCTTGGTAATACTCTGACCAGCATCACCTTGAACTGGAGTTGTGCAGAGAAGAGGTCGGATCAGGGAAGAGCTCTTAGCTCGGGCCACCACATCTAGAAGCAGTTACAAGTGTACCCAGGGATCCATGTGTGCATGTCTGGGCAGGTGCTTTTGTGTGTTGTGCACAAAGTTCATCCCACAACATCTGAACTTTCTAAGTGTCCTAAAGGAGAGCATGTGGTTAAAAGTATAGCTAGTGAATATGGCAGAAATAGCAGAACGTTCCTCTTGAACATGCAATTGTTGAGCCGTGTCTGGGCAGTGTGAGTTAATTCCTGCTGCTAGGCTGACTATGGATGGGCAGAGGGAGGCTCGCGGCCTGAGAACTGCAGTGCCGCGCTGTGCTGAGATTGACGTCCTGAGAACTGCTGCCACACGTCTGCCATAGGCGCATCTTCAGTACTCCATAGGAACACATTTATCGAGCAGGAACACGCTTCTTCATGTCTTAGTACACAGATCTGATGATAAACTTAGGGATGTTGCGCTTAGTATTGCCTGTTGCTTTGTGTTTCCCTGTAAGCTGAGCATTGGGGGAATGCAGAATTTTAATTGTAACTTTGCCAGTACTTCTGTATAGAGACCAGCTGCCATTTTTGTCTTCTATGAAATTTTTGTTACCAAGGAAGACAGGATTACAGTTTTGTCTGACAGACTGAGATGGCGTGGTGTATTCTTAGTTATCAAATACTCATGTAGTGTGGGGCTTTTAGTTGGTGAATGTTCACAGTGTGAGGAGAGCGTGGTACACACTGTATGAGCTCCATCACCTGATGTATCCACACTGGCAGGATCTAGGACACATCAGGCTGAGCTGCTTGTGATTGGGTGGCTTTGTTCTTGGCTTCTCGTTTTGTGTCCTATAATGCACATACTATAAAATAAGTAAAAGCTTCTTTTAAAAGCTTTTAAAGAGAGGGAGAGAGAGTACCTTCAAAGAGCGCGCGTTTTTATTTCTGATAGCACAATCTTCCATTTTTGCAGTTACCTATTATGCTTTTGTTGACACATCTAAGAAATCTTTGCCTGACTTAAGATCACAAAGAATTTTCTCCATATCTCCTCCTGGAATTTGTATAGTTTAGGGTTTGTTTTGGTTTGGGAGATTGTTGCTTTATTCTTATTTAACTTTTATTTATTTGTGAGCATGCATGCACATGTGTGCACATGCTTGTGTGCATGCATGTGCATGTGTGCACATGCCACCGCCCATTAGTGGTGCTCAGAGTACAACTTGGGGAAAGTCGATCTTTCTGCCATCCTGAGAATGAAACTCAGGTCATTAGGCTTGGTAACAAGCATCTTTATCTACTGAAGCACCTCCAGTCCCTGTTTCTGTTCAGATAAGATCTCACTAGGTACAGCCTCTAACCTGCAATTCTCCTGCCTCTACCTCCCAAGTACTGGGATTACAGACATACACCTCCATGACAGAGTTAGCTTTGGATTTCATATTAGTCCCAATGACCCCTTTTGCACTTGAATGTAGTGTAAAGTATGACTGAGAGCTTTTCTGTATCTGGACATCCGGATAGTTCATTTAATATCACTCAGAAATGGCTACCATATTCTCTTATTTAATTCTGCCTTTCACAAGAGTCATTTATTTTGAATTTTTTCAGAGTTAATTTTGGAATAATTTTTTTATTAGAGGTGTGATGATGTCCTGGCAACACAATCTAGCTGCTCCCCAGAGCCAGGGATGAGGCTAAGGCCTGGCTGAGCTGATGCCCTTCATTGACCCCATCACCCTCACCACCAGTCGCCAGT